TTGTACTCCTTGATTTTGAAATTGTAGCCAATTGCGTCACCTTTCTCATTGTTTTCGGATTCGTTTTCTGATCTCGTAGAAATAAATTAATCGAGGGAAAGTAAGAGAAAGGCGACTGTTGTTGTCTTGAATTGTTTTCCATATTGAAAGGAAGCGAAACAGGTTTCGAATCTTGTTCGAGTCTTTTTACGCCACCAAAATTTATGTGATTCATGGAATCACAGCACTGTGTTTTTCTAATTTCATTACTGAATAGGGCAGATACCTCCCTTTCAAAAAACGAGAAGAGCATCGAGTGCAGACCACACGCCACAAGTGACGACGGCCTCCACTCATATGGTTGGTCGTCCCACATACACTTCTCTCCTCAACTCCGGTCGACGGACGTTCGCGAAGTAGGAAGTACTGTAGTCCATATCTCGGCGTCTGAGGGGGCGTGTCTGCGGACCTGCTAGGACTCATCGACGGGTGTGATAAGCAGAACGAGTAGTTGTGCAGTATGCATTACCAAGAACGCTGCTTTCACTCGAGTGGCCTTGTCTTCCACTAACCAATCTTGTGGGGTCAAATAGCGCTGAAATCAGCAAGAACCAGCTTTGCAACATGCAAGTCTGTAGTCTGCTTAGTGAAAAGTCCGTAGACACGCCCGCTCACGCGTTGGGATATGGAGTGTATGTAGGTGGCTCGATACCAGGTAGTTGCCAGGATTACCTCGACTACTCTCTAGGAAGGACATGAAGGTCAAAGGATGTTTTATAAAGAACCCCTTCGAAAAAGGTTCCATGGTGACTCCATTTTTTATTATACTATAACGCACTAGTAGAGCTGTGAGCAGGGCGTCCTACACCTGAAGATGCTCCTATGTGTGGCTGAAAATATTCCTATGTAGGGCCAAAGAGTTTTTGCCGCGAGTGCAAAAAATACTCAGGATTAAGGAGCACTTCTCATGTCCACTGAAATAAATGATCATGGGTTAAAGAATTCTCCTAAGCGTTCGGAGATATGGATGAAAGGCATGTAACTTGTATATTCCAGAGATAATCCAAAAGTCCAATAGTATAATCCAAAAGTATTTTTTACATGTGCATATTTTTAAAGGGTTATTTAGAATAAGTTGTCGGTTAAAAAAGGTTTGAATTTCCGGTTTGCAAATAAATTAGACGCTAAAAATTGTAAATTTGAAGGTGAAAAAATTCCTCCGAAAATAATCC